AGCCTCTTTTTTGTTTACCAGCCTGTCTGGAGCCCTTACCAGGTTTTGACCTGGGAGGACTGACAAACTCAGCGAGTTGGTTTTGAGTGTAAGTTTTACTTCACACTTATGTCAAAGCAACACACAAGCATAAGCAAACAACCCTAAGAACCACAGACAATAGGCACAGCAGGGGGTACCTCTCCTGCAGCGGCCCACAAGTTCCAGCTGGGGCCTTCCTCTGTATTCAGTCTCCTGAGGGCCTGGAGTCATGGAAATCGGGCTCAGAACAGGCGGCACCCAGCTTGATGGACTGGTTGTCAGGTTAGCGGAGGAGAGCTCCAGGACATAGTCGTGGTTCACTCTAAAATTCCCAGTTCTGAGCTGGTCCTTAAATAGTTGCTAAGTCTGTTAATCACACTCTGCCATGCTTGACACATTTTCACTCTTACCTACAATGGCTGCTTAGTGAGCCTACGCTCCCTTTCCTTTAATCTTTCTTCAGCCAGGCAATGCCTGACTGGTTGTAGCCTCTGTCCTAATCTCCCTCCATCCAGGCCTTTGCCTGCCTGGTTACAAGGCTCCTTACACCACCTGTTGGCTGCAACCAGAAAGGTTCCTCTATGCATTTCCCATGGGTGAGGCAAGTGGAAAAATTGGCAAAAGCTCCTCTCCGGATGCCCATCGGCCCGTGGGAGTTGCCAGGGGCCTGGCCCCAAAGGGGACACAGCTGTCCAAACTGAAAAAGCAAAAAAGCACCACTCCTGGAGCGGGATCCTGTAAGAACCCCCGGAAGCTTAGGCCTGCAGAATCTTTTCCCAGGACTGTGACCACCCCAATCACCATGAGGAAGCAGACACTAGAAACAAACAGCAAGAGGCTTTAATGAAAGGTGGACGTTTGTGCAAACGGGCTCCCTCAGCATGCAGGCTAGAGAGCAGCCCCGTCCCCCAGGCACAGGCGTTTTTAAAGGCAAAAACAAGCTTAGGGAGGGGCGTGACCAGAGTCATGGGTTCCTCCTAGGAGGCCCTTTGTCTTAAGGAGAGGGCTGGGAATCAGATGGCCTCCTGACTCACCAGTTGTAAAACCTGCAGACCTCAGGATATGCTTATCTTGCCTGAGCAAATGGTAGCTATCTCTTTGTTTCACAGGGACCCTTAATTGTTAATTATTGACACATTGGCCAGTGGGGCAATCTGTTTCCTCCATGAGCCCCTCGGGGAGGGTGGCCATCTGGGAATTCTTGGTACCCAGTTATCTTATGGCCTTGTAAGCTGGTAAATTCCAGGCCCTAAGTCATAGTAGTGGCCTTAGTTTCTGGGTTAGGCTGCCCTACATTCAGTTTGGAGAGTTTCCTTATCTGGGCTATATTTCTTTGCTAATTTTTAAGTCTTTCAATCCCAAACTGGATCGGAGGGAAATTCAAGGGATGTCTTACCAGATTGTAGCAAACAGGCAGATGAGTCGGTTCCAAAGATGCTTAGTTGAAAAAAGCGGCGAGTTGAAGTTCCGGCATCTCAGGCCGCTGCAGGCAGGAGGAAGTGCCAGGAAAACCGAGATGGAAGTGGGTTATGAGTTCAGATTTTAGGATCCCCGATATTTCCCGTGCCCCTGGCAGGAGAGGTTAGAGAAAAAGCCTATCCCGCCAGCAAGCTGCTGGAGAGCTTACGGAGAGAGCCTAAACCAGTTGGGCGCCAATGTTAAAATTTTTGTTTAAATTAGCTATAAAGAAAAAGAGACTGATGAGCCATAAGACGAAGAGACATAGTAGACAGATTAATTGGTTTATTATAGGCCTGGCAGAGCAGGGAGACTAAAGGAGAAGAGGAACAGGGTAAATGGCTGACCGCCATGGCCGGTCACCAGAGAGAGAGAGAAACAGAAGCAGAGAAGAGTAGAGAGAGCAGAGAGAAGTGTAGAGAGCATACATGGGCATGGATCTGTCTTTTAAAGGGGTCCTTTACTCCTGCGTGCAGACTTAGTTCCCATGGAACCCTGGGCTGACCAGGGCACTGCCTGTTCCACCAGGTAACAGGGACAGGCCAGCGGAGTGCCTGAACCTTTCACCCATGCTACAGGATTGTGTTTTACAATTTTTTTTTTTTTGCACATTCCTTATGGAAACTAGAATTTTGTGCACATGACTCTGAATGATCAAGACAACTGCAAGTTGGCTGTGAAGACATGTTCCTGTAATCCCAGCATTCCAGAGGCCGAGGCAGGAGGATAACAAACGCAAGGCTGACCTGTGTTACTTAGGTAGTTCTAGGCCAGCCAGGGCAAATTTGTGAAACCCTGTATCAAAACTGCAACAGGAATAATTTCTCTTTGAATTTTTGAGACAGGGTCTCACTATGCAGCCCTGGTTTCCTCCAAATCACAGAGACCCACCTGCCTCTGCCTCCCTCTGGAGAGTTAGGATTAAAGGTGTGTGCCACCACATCCCGGATAATTATATAAAATTAAAAAGAGTAGTGTAGGGAGCTGACCCTGGGGATCCCATCGCTAGTTCTATACCTGTTGCCCCTGTCTGCTGCCTCATACTAACCACAGGTATTTTTCTGTTTTGTGTAACACCAACATTTTATGAAACTATCAACTTTTTCCTATTCTTTCCCGTTTCTTCCACAAACAATCTATGAAAATGCAATCTAGAATATGAGATTTAAATGAAAAATCTGAGGGTTTTTTAAGAAAAAAAACAGGCTAATATTTCAGTTCTTTTAATGATTTCAGTGTTTTCTAGCCATATAAAATTAATCAGACTTACTTACTTTGGGAGCCGAAAATTATGCTATTAGAGAATTTCTTGGGGTCCAGACCTCCTGTTCCAGTTTCTGGGAGCTCTGGTCTGCATTGTATTGTAGATGCTAGCTGATTTGCTGTTGAATGGCATAGACTCAGTGGAGAATGTCCCCTAGTTTTGTTTCTCTACAGAACTAAGCATTTGAATCAGCCTGCACAGAGGGCGAGGGCAGAGAGCTAGGTCTATGTGAGGAGAGACAGTTGGAAGGTATCTGCGGATGGCTAGCAAAGACAGCTCAAACTGTCTGCATAGAGATCTTGTAGGGCAGCATAAGGGGAGTGTCTAGGGGTACGCACAGGCTCAGGATTGGTGTGCCTCCAGGCTTGGAGGGATTGCCCTGTGTTGATTGGTCAACTGGTTGTTATGGCCCATAGGCCCTCCCAGGGTGGTTGCTATGCTCTGCGCGTCTTTGCTGTGCACTTATCCGTAAAGCATACCCAGAGCCATAAAGCATAGCGCCACCAACTTCTGATTGGTTCCTTGTCACGAGGCAGGCACCTAACCTCTAGTGACCAAGGCAAGGTCATAGCGAGCAAGTGTCTGTCATGGCTGCCGAAAAGGGGGGCTGGTCCCTTCAACATTTGAGGCTGGGTGTGGTGCCACACACCTTTAAGTCCAGCACTCAGGAGGCAAAACCAAGCAACCTGTGAGTTCAAGGCCAGTCTGGGCGACATCAAGCTCCAGGACAGTCAGGGCTCTGTAGACAGACCAAATAAACAAACAAAAGAAAAGCATAGATTTGTCATTTTTCTTTTTCTCAGTACTGTATATTAAATTTAGAGCCTTGGTAGCCTGATGGTGGTGGTGGCCCACACCTTTAATCCCAGCACTCCGGAGGCAGAGGAGAGCAGATCTCCGAGTTCCAGGCCAATGAAGTCTAAACTGAGTTCCTGTACAGCCAGGGCTACACAGAGAAACCGTGTCTTGAAAGAAAACCAAATAAATGAATAAACAAAAAATAAAGTTAGAGCCTTGCACGAGCTAGGCAAGAACCTGCCTGAGACTTCTTTTAAAATTGGTCTTGAGCTCACTATGTTACCTAGGCAGACCCCGAACTTTTGATTCTTCTGTCACAGCCTTCTGGGTAGCCAGGGTCACAGATCTGTACCACCAGGCCTGCTTAGATTTTACCCCCTGTATATAGCAGGTCGTCTCACTGTACCTGTGAGCTCTGTCCACTAGATGGCACTATTAACCTTCCCTCAGTGGTGACAACCGAAAACATTTCCAGACAGCCAGAACAAGCCAAGGACATGTGGAAAAGCTAGAAACTGCTGCCCTCTCTCATTCCTCCAACAGGAATTAGGTAACACAAAGAAGGAGCTGGAGAGATGGCTTGGCCATTGAAAGTGTTTACTGCTCTTGCAGGGGACTTGGGTTTGGTTTCCCAGAGGACTTGAAGGGTTTGGCTGCCTGCATTAGCTACTCCAGTTCCAGGGGATCCAATGCTCTCTTCTGGACTCCATGAGGTGCACATAAGCTCATGAAGACAGACAGACAGACACACATCCTTAGGAATAAAACACACATGCATAGCTTTATTTATTATTGCCTTTATTGTGTTAGCAGGAAAATCAAGACATTCTGTGAAACACGTTACACACACAGAATCAGTGTCCTGCCAGGTGTGGTGGCACACACCTTTAATCCTGACACTCATGGGGCAGAAGCAGATAAATCTCTTGTCAGTTTGAAGCCATCTGGCCCACAGTGGGTTCCAGGACAGCCAGGGCTTTGCACAGACCCTGTCTTTTTACACAAAGCAAACAGAACAAGTGGTGCTTTAACTATCAATTCTCACCTTTAGTAAATAAAGATCATTTGCCTGTAACAAAATCAAAAAGAAAATCACCCACATTAAACCCTGTAAACCCCGTGAATTTAATCACTGACCCCTTTACATCCCTTAAGGAACACTTCCTAAGTTCCCAAAGGTTCGAGTCTTATGGTGTGTGTCTGTGTAAACATAGTATGTGTGAGGGCACACGTGTGGAGGCAGGGGACACTCTGAACAGCAGGCTCTCTCTTCCCACCTTTAGTAGGTTACGGGGGTCACTGGGCATGCGTGGAACCCGCCTTCACCTGCCGAGCCGCCTCACCAGTCTGTGTTTTATATGGTTCCAAAATCTTTAAAATTCGGGAAACATGGGACCAACATGGCTTGGCTTGGCCAGTAAGAGCTTGCAAAGCAAAGCTAGTGACCTGAGCTGGATTGACCAGACACCGATGCGGCAGGAAAGAAAGGTCTCCTGTAAGCTAAGCTGTTCTCTGCCCTCGTCACTGCTCCATAGCATAGGCTCACCTGTGTGCTTGACCACATTAAAAACGTGTAAAACAAAATAAAATTTAGATGTCAAAACGAATGCTACTTGGTGTTGAACCAAATACTGTATTTTTTTTTTTTTTTTTGGAGAAAGGGTTTCTCTGGTCTCGAACTCACAGAGATCCGCCTGCCACTGTGTCCCCAGTGCTGGGATTAAAGGTGTGCGCCACCCCAACCAGCTCAAATACCCAAGTTAAATGCATGGCAAGGGTATGTCATCACCCTTGAAGGATATCTCAATCACGGTTTATTTGCATTAACACTTTCCTTGCTACGGTCAAATGCCTCAGAGACAAAGAGAGTAAGGATTTATTTCAGCCAGTTTCATGGTGCTGAAAGCAATGTGACATGCACAGAGGCAGAAACCTGGAGCGGGCTGCTCACATCTCCCCAGATCAGAAAACAGAGAATTGTGCCGGAATGGAGGTGAGACTCAACCCCTCGGGACCACCCGTGCCAGCAACCCACTTCTCCTAGTTAAAGCCTGACAAAAAGGTGCTACCAGCTAGGGACCATGTGCAGGAAAGTTCACATTGGAACCATAACACTGTCTAATTAGGTACCCTGAATCAATTCCTGCCAAAAGTCTAGAGATCCGGGGCTGAATCTCACCTGTGACAGTTACAAGACAGAAGTAGAGCCTCGATTTGTCACCACGCCTTTAATCCCGCACTTGGGAGGCAGAGGCAGAGGCAGGTGGATCTCTGTGAGTTTGAGGCCAGCCTGGTCCACAGAGCGAGTGCCAGGACAGCCAGGACTGTTATATAGAGAAATCTTGTATCAGAAAACCAAAAATGTTGAAACTAATAAGACACAGAAAGGACAACCGTGGTGGAACCATTTATCTCAGTAACACGATCCTCAGTACTTCATACATTTTATCCCAGGGCTGGCTTGCTGTGCAGTTTGAAGACTGGCACACGACACAGGAAACATCTCTGTGCCTTTGATAGGTGCGTTCCTTCTACTTCAGACAAGTTCAGTCGATCCTCCAAAGAAGAGCAGCTTACAAGTGGGCAGTCGGGCTCTTCCTCACCACATAGCTCTTAGGGTACACGTGCTTACCCTCTGACAGGAGAGACACGTGGATTTCATAGAGATGGGAGCTGTGGATCACTACTCGGTTAACTACTCTGCCCTCCTTCAAGATTTCTTCCGTCTTTCTGTCAGTAGACATTGGGTTTTCTAGGAAATGTGAGTCTTTCCTGTATAGCTCATCTCCTGAAAAAATAGTAAAAAATTTATTTCCATAAAGCATGGTTTCATAAATCATCCCAGTAAATTAATGACAGAGATCAGTATTTCTGTATGCATTGCGTGGTTAAGTTTAGTTGGTGTTTTTCTTTTCTTTTTTTTGGTTTTTCGAGACAGGGTTTCTGTGTAGCTTTGGAGGCTGTCCTGGCACTTGCTCTGGAGACCAGACTGGCCTCAAACTCACAGAGATCCGCCTGCCTCTGCCTCCCGAGTGCTGGGATTAAAGGCGTGCACCACCAATGCCCGGCTTTAGAATTAGTTGGTGTTTTTCTTGTTGCTACTTTGAATTTATTTTTGAACTTACTTTAGTACTAATCCATGGTATGTGTATGTGTATGTGCACACTGCCTGACGAGGGTACTGGGAACTCAATCCAGATCCTCTGATTATTCTTAATCCCTGGTGTGTGTGTGTGTGTGTGTGTGTGTGTGTGAACTGCCTGCCATGGGTACTGAGAACTGAATCCAGATCCTCTGAGAGAATAGCAATACAGCCTTGAACCACCAAGACTCTCACCCTGTCTCACGTTCTTATTACATGTGAGAGAGAAAGAGGCAGGGAGAGGTGTGTGTGTGTGTGTGTGTGCGCGCACTCGTGCATGTGTGCCCATGGGGATGTGTGTGTATTCACGTAGGTAAAGGTCAGGGACCAGCCTGCAAGACTTGGGTCTCTCCCTCCCTCCTCCAAGCCTATGTGCGTGGCTACAGGAAAGCACATCCTCATGGATCCAGAGGACACCTCCAGGTGTCGCTCCTCCAGAACTTTCCACCTTTTGTTTCAGACGGGGTTTCTTATTAGCCTGGCACACCACCTATTAGGTCAGGCTAGCTGCCCCTTGCTCTGCCTACCACTGTGCCACCACAATGCCAGGGTAACAGTTGCCTGCCACCATGCCTGGTTCTTTGCCCCGGTTCAGAGGATGCAAACTCAGGCCCTCACACTTGCAAGGCCAACCTTCTACTCACTTAGCCAGCTCTCTAGCTCTCTTGGCTGGGTTTTACTATCACTACTTATGTCTACCCCCAAGACAAGTATTTTCTTTGGGCACATTATAATGGACGACTATAAGAGCTTCTGTTGTGAACTATAATTCTTATCACTTATTTCAGCAGCACTGGGAATTAAAATAGAGGTCTTGATGAAAGCTAGGCCAGGACTCCACCGAGTCCCATGCCCAACCACACACACTGTAAGTTTTGGACTACTTCATGACTCTCTCATTTAGCCTAATAAATATTAACATTAATGTTGGCCTTAAAAACGCTTTTGATGTTTCAACATGGGTGTGTCTGGTAATCTTAAGTTTATTCTATTTTTAGCTCATTTTAAAAATTCTCCTCTATTTAATTGTGTGTGTGTGTGTGTGTGTGTGTGTGTGTGTCTGTGTGTGTGTGTGTGAGGGGCTTTCTCAATCATGCTCCACCTTAGGTTTTGTTTTTGTTTGTTTGTTTTCTTTTGAGACAGGGTTTCTCTGTGTAACAGTCCTGGCTGTCCTGGAACTCACCCTGTAGACGAGGCTGGCCTTGAACTCACAGAGATCCACCTGCCTCTGCCTCCCGAGTGCTGGGATTAAAGGCATAGCACCACCAACGTCCAGTTTTCCACCTCAGTTTTGGAGTCAGGGTTCAGGGAACCAAGGAGTTGGCCTGTCCTAACAGCGTCATAGGTTTTTCAGGCTAGAGTCCATGGTTCCTTGTATTAAAACTGCTAGGGGCTGGAAAAATGGTTCAGGGGTTAAGAACACCAGGTGCTCTTCCAGGAAACCCAAGTTGGGTACCTAGCAGCCCCATTGTAGCTCACTGCATGTGTAACTCCAATTCCAGAGGATCCCACGTCCTCTTCCGACCTCTGCAGATATTAGGCACACAGGTGCTGCACACAGGCAAACATTCATATACATAAGATAAAAGTAATCTTTTTTTTCAAAGCTGCTGAACTGTCCCTCTCTAGAGTGAAAGACCAATCTCCTCAGTATGAAGAGGCAGAAATGAAATATGAGCAGTCAAACAGTGCCCAATACAACACTAACCAGTGTCTGCCAAATTATAACCACCAGCAAATTCCCTAATTCAAATAAGCTCACGGTTTCAGTTATGACAAGTTGTCATAACTGAAAATAAAAATGTATAAGTGAAGGCCTAGCGTTGGTGGCGCACACCTTTAATCCCAGCACTCGGGAGGCAGAGGCAGGTGGATCTCTGTGAGTCTCCAGCGCGAGTGCCAGGACAGGCTCCAAAGCTACACAGAGAAACTCTGTCTCAAAAAAAATGAAACAAAACGTAAAAGTGAGATATATATGAGAAAAGAATTTTGTCTGTGCCTAGGAAATATATATACAAGTTTATAAATTCAGAATCCCTAGTTATAAGAAACACAGTGGCATACCCTTGATCCCAGCACAGGCCGATGAAGGCAGGAGGATTATAAGTTTGAGGCTAGCCTGGGATACATAGGAAGTGCTATGCCAGTCTGAGATCTACATTTACACCTTGTCTCAAATAAACATTATGTGTCCTAGAGTTAGCTTTAATTATCAAAACCATGCATCCTCAGTCACCTGAGAAAAAGAGTCTTAAGTGAAGGACTTCCCAGATCAGACTGGCCTGTAGAAGGACTGTCCTGAATGTTAGTGATGCAGATGGGCCCAGCCCACTGTGGGTAGCACCATTCCCTAGTCAGGGAGTCCCAAATTGAACGAGAAAGCTAGCTAAGCACAGTCCTTTGTGAGCCAGCTAGCAAGCTGAATTCTCCATGGTTCCTGCCGGACCTCTCTGGTTGTGAAGCTAGCTAATGCCTCGGTTGGGAGCAATGCTGCGTATAATGCTTGCAAGCCTGCCCTCAAGTTTCTGCCTTAGCTTCTCTCACCAACAAACCATAACCCACAATCGGAAATAAACCCTTTCTTCCCCAAAGTTGCTTTTGGTCAAGGTATCTGTCACAGGAACAAAATGAAACTAGAAATATGTGTATGTTATGACTTTGACCTTCTTTTAACCAGGCGTGGCAAACCTCTTGTTTGTTTACAGAGTTTATGTCTGAGAGCCACACAGCTGAATGACAAAGAAAGTTAAAACAAACAAATAAACAAACAAACAAAACAAAATTAAAGAGAAACCTCAATGGTTATTTTGTGTTGGGCTGCATTCACAGCTATCATCAGGGGGGCCCAGGCACAGGCTGTAGAACAAACAGGCTGTAGCTCCTGCCTCTGCTGGCAGCCGGGGGGCCAAATGTGAATTCTAACAAGAGCACTGTACTCGCCCCACTCACCTGGCAAAAGCATGATGGTGCCGTCAGCAGTTAAAAGCTTGATCGGCAGCCACTTCTCAGTTATCTCTAACGGGTAATCTGAAGAAAATCTGTGCAGAGCGGAGAGAGAGTCAAAAGTTTCAAGTCTTCTCATTTCATAGAACTGCGGTGGTGCCAGCCAGATTTCTTGGGACAGGAAACACTCAGTTGCCTCTGACGGGGACAACCACTGTAAGAGACAAAGGAAGCAGCTTTGTGAGGCTTATTCCACCAGCAGCCAGGTCCCAGGTTGCTAGATGGATATACAAGTTCCGCTTGACGTGAGAGCTGACTTATTCACAGGCCTTGCTGCATCTCTCGGACAGCGTGAGAACATTCAGAGCCTGGACACTGCCGTATCACCACTGTCTGCTTCATCAGGAGATGAAGCCCTGCCTGCAAGTGCAGTGAGGTCCTGTCTCAGAAACAAAGAATTGGTGGCTGGAGAGATGGCTAGGGGGTTAAAAGTAGTTGCTGCTTTTCCGGAGGACCAGAGTGAGGTTTCCGGCACCACAGCAGGCAGCTCACTGGTAACCTAAGTTCTAGGCCATTCAACGCCCTCTTCTGGCCTCCAAGGTCATCTGCATGCATGGTAAAGTGGGAAAATAATAGCATCAAATCACAATTGTTGATTGATAATATTTATTAAAAATATTAATAATCCGTGGCTGGAGAGATGGCTCAGGGGTTAAGAGCACTGGCTGCTCTTCCAGATGTCCTGAGTTCAATTCCCAGCGACCACAGGGTGGCTCACAACCATCCGTTATGAGATCTGGTGCCCTCTTCTGGTGTGCAGGTATACATGGAAACAAAATTTGTATACATAATAAATAAATAAAATCTTTAAAAAAAATCTCAGCAGGGACCAGCAGAAAGGAGAAGGGGTAGAGAAAGAGAGACAGCCAAGCTTTACATGGTCACCTGGTAGAGAGGGGCTGGGGAGTAGTTTCAGAAAAAAAGAATTGGGAAGCCAGGTGTCTAGGGCACCACACCTGGGCTTTGTACAGCATTCCAAAGGAAAGGAGAGATGCAAACGGAATTTCTGAGTAATTGAAGAGAAGCAGGCATCCTGCAATGTTACATCACAGGAACATGGCAAGCATTTGTACCACGGGGCTCCTGGAAGGATTCTAGGCTGTGGCAAGCTGACAACTAAAGCTATCACTCTGCCTGACTCTTCCACCTCCTGTTCTCAGCCGTCCCATTGGTTCGAAGATGTAAGCGAAAATATCAACACAAGAGAAAAAGAAATAAAATTAATTTCAGATATGTATGTGCTTTGCCTGCATGTATGCCTATGCACCCTACATGCACTAGAGGCCAGAGAGGGCGTCAGAGAAACCCTATCTTAACACACACACAGACACACACACACACAGACACACACACACACACACAC